AACCAACTCTGGATAATTTCAACTCTTTAACAAGGGCTGTTTAGTGATCCAAAATATGTTTAGTGACACAATATATCTTTGCGAATGTTCCATGTGCACTTGAACATGTATTCCTCTATGGTTGGTGAAGTATTCTATAAATACCAGCTAGATCATGTTTGTTGACCTGTTGTTCAGGGCTTACATAGCCTCTGGACTGCTACTTTTCTGACTACAGAAAGAGGAATGCTAAAGCCTACAGATTTGTCTATTTCTCCTTTCAGTTCTGGTTTAATGTATTTTGAAGCTATGTTGTTAGGAGCATTCATGTTTAACAGTGATATGTACTTGGCAAATAGGCCATTATCAATTTAACAACTACTAAAATTATTGCGTTGTGTACCATTTTATTTCTAGTAATTATTTTTCTGAAGTCTTCTTCATGTGATAATAATATGATCACTCCAGCTTTTCCAGTTGTAAAATATCTATTTTTTAAAAATTTTCTATTTCTTTGCAGAGAATTTCTATCTTTTCATTCAATGGTGCTCATTTTTGGGATGTGTTGCTTTAAAAATTTTGCCTAAGAATTTCAAACCCTGGATCATCTCAGGGTTGGTATAGTTCCCCCCCACCTTGAGAATGTTTAGGTTTTCCTGATTCTTCATGTATTGGATCATTTTGGTTTGTATCCTACATGTTTTGACTATTTTGCTAGTCAGTCTCATGGATGTACACAAACTTAAAGGAACCCTGACGTGGGCATCTCCTTTCTGTGATTTCCATGGCTAGAACGCCATGGTCACCCCCTGGCACTCCTGTGACTGGAACCACTGTGGGGCAGTGTTGGCAGAGAGGAGCCTGCAGGACTACTGTGCTGATGAGGGTCCCTGACCCACAGGGGCTACTTCTGGGGGAGCTCTACGGGCATTCACCTGAAGTAGGCTACGAAGTGAAACAGGACAGTGACAAAAGGACAGATACTGCATGTTCCCACTCACATATGGAACCTAAAATAGTGACATTATAGAATCAAAGAGTGGAATGTTAGGTGCTGGGGGTAGGGTGTGGAGGAAATAAGAGTTACTTATCAAATGTGTATAAAATTTCTGCTCCATAAATTCTAGAGATTTGCTGTACAACACTACATATAGTCAACAACATTGTATGATACTCTAAGTGTTCTTACCACAATGAAATAAGAAATTCAAAAGGTACAAATGCATTTTTAGCATGATGTAAACCCAAACTAAAATCCGCAACTTGTATTACCCAATAAACTTACATCTAGCCAAAATAACTATGCCATTAGAGAAAGGTGACAATCTCGAGTTACCTTCCTCCAGAAGAGCTCTCTGACATCCAAGTACAGGATGGGCATCTTTGCCTGTCTCAAGGCACCCAGCCTCCTGTCTCAAGGCGCCCAGCCGTCCCTTCCCTACAAGGAGCTCCTGAGGGTGAGGCCCCTAACTTCCACTATCTTCTGGGGCCAGAACTGAACTTGCATATAGCAGGATGACAATAAACAGTTGGTGAAAGACTTAATGTATGGGGGCTGGCGCTGTGGGGTAGTGGTAGGCTAAGCCTCTGCCTGCTCCTGGCTGCTCCTCCTCTGATTCAGCTCCCTGCTAATGCCCTGGGAAAGCAGTGGAAGATGGCTCAAATGCTTGGGCTCCTGGCTCCCAGCTTTGGATTGGCCCAGCTCCAACCACTGTGGCCATTTGGGGAGTGAACCAGTGGGTGAGAATGGCATTTTGTTGGTCTACCCTCCCAACACCAATATGTGACAGCAACCATGGGAGAGATGAATCTCACAGGCCTATGCCCCCAGCACGGTAAGAAGACAGACTGGAACGAAAAGTCAGCTGGTGACATCTGGGGGAGTGGGCATAGGAGCCATGATTTTTTTTTTCTATGCACTTTCTGTACTTGATCATTTTTCCATGCAAGACTCCCAAACTTCTCTGTTCTCATTCTAATCCCATGTGCAGAAAGCCGCTTCCTAGTCTGTAATTTAGACTCTGGGATGGGTCAGCCCAATGCAGACATGACCTATGGTTTCCTGCACAAATGAACACGGCAGATGATCCTGTGTCTTTTCTCTCCCAAGGCACATCAGCAAATCACAGCCCAGATCTGCACACAGGACCCCTCTGGGCCCAGATGCCCCACTGGGCTTGCAGTAGCCCTGTCAACCCTGTTAGCTGGCCCTGGGAAGCTGTGTTCCTGTGTTTATGACAGCAAACGCTGCATGCTTCCTGCTGCCCTCCCTGCTGAAGGGCTTGTCCATCCCTACAAAGAAGGGAACACAGGGTGTGGAAGAGGGGAGCAGGAGGCCTGAGTGCTGGGACGAAGGTACTCGCGTCCCCACAGCAGAACTGTGCATCCATCCGGGACACTTTATTTTATTTATTTATTTATTTTTATTTTTGACAGGCAGAGTGGACAGTGAGAGAGACAGAGAGAAAGGTCTTCCTTTGCCGTTGGTTCACCCTCCAATGGCCGCTGCGGCCGGCACATCGCGCTGATCTGAAGCCAGGAGCCAGGTGCTTCTCCTGGTCTCCCATGGGGTGCAGGGCCCAAGCACTTGGGCCATCCTCCACTGCCTTCCTGGGCCACAGCAGAGAGCTGGCCTGGAAGAGGGGCAACCGGGACAGAATCCGGTGCCCCAACCGGGACTAGAACCTGGTTGCCGGCGCCGCAAGGCGGAGGATTAGCCTAGTGAGCCGCGGCGCAGGCCTGGACACTTTAATAATCTGATTTTATGCTGCAAGTCCTGGAAGGAGGACTGTGGGGGGGGGGCAGCCCATCTGGGAGCTCTGGGCAAAGTTCCTGCCACCACAAGATAATAAGCAGCAATGATTAGGTCTTCCTGGAAAATGGAATAGTACTGTTATTAAAACTTTTATTATCTGTATGCTCTATATGAATGAAACTGCCTCTAGCTGCTCTAACTTGGGAGCGGTACAGACAGTAGCAGTAATAATAATGAATTAAACCACAAGAGATCCAGCGTCAGGGGCAAGCGTGGGCTCCCACAGCACAGATCCTGAGATTCTGCTCGGGTCGGCATGAGGCAGGGGTCCAGGGTGGCTCTAGGCAGCAGCCACAGTCTGTCCTGTTACCTGTCCCTCAAATACACCTGCCCTGAGAGGGCAGCTCCCCAAGAGAATCTGGCTCATTCCCGCCCTCTCTCTGAAGCAAAACCCACATCATTACCCCTGCTGGTAAAGTAGCCTAGATTCTTCCACTTTAGAATTTACCGGCTCTGTTCTTTCTGTGACTTAGAGAAAGTTAATAGTCACCACTGGCCAGGACAAATTTATATAAGCAAAGCTATCTCACAAATAAATACTGCATTGCACGCAATCCACTACAGAGCAAAACACACATGGTCCCTGCAGACCACGCCAGCACTTCATAGGGAAGGAAGCCTCCTTAGGCTTAGAAGGAGGAAGCACCATGTCACTAAAGGGCCAGGCACTACCCCCTGCAGCCTCCTTCCCAGCTTTGACTATGAACTTGAGCATCCGATTTTTTGTGCCACTCGTCCAGTAAGCCCTTGAGATGCATTTTCAATTCTAGGTCATGCAGGTGGATGGTGCTGATGCGAGGGATTCATCTGCACACAGCATGTCCCCTGGCCATTTTAGTGGCTTTTTGAACAGCAGCTTCAACACCTCGCTGGAAATCCACAGGGTGGATCATCAGCTATGCCCTGAACCTGCCCCAGGGCTCCATCACCGACTACCATAACGTGTGGCACAAGCAAAAAAAAAAAAAAAAAAAAAATCCCATCAGAGCCAAGGGGCCCAGGGATCAGGACCACACGTATGGGCTCTCGGCTACTGCCTGGATTCTTGGCTGCCACTGCAGGAACTCAAAGCACCTTATCCATTGTACTTTGCTAACTTCCCAAGCAGGAGGCAGAATGTCTTGGGACCTGTCTGTACATTGCTTTGTTGGAGTTAACTTTTCCTCCTGTGTGTGCAATTTCTTTTTGGGGTACAGGGTTCCCTAATGGCCACCAAGTTCTACTTCCTCTCTCTCTCTAACACTGCTGTGCTTACTAAACTGGGTTCCTGGAATCCTAGCAAACACTTAAAGTAGCCAGAAACATTTTTTTTAAAAAATAATTTTGCCTTGGAAAGTTCCCTAGGCCCCTCAGCAAACACACGCACACTCCTCAATTGCGTAGTTGTGTTTCCTGACATGCTGATGTCCGTGAATAAAACAAACCAGCAAGGAAAGACTCTTTAGTCCCACTTCAAATGCTCATTCCCAACAGATTTCTCATCTCATTGGAATCGCTGGAAACCAGAAGGGACAAGGGCCAAAGAGAGACAAGGGTCAACCATTCTGTCTCTGCCCATCCTAAGACAGCTGCTCACAGTGAGTCTGATGCGCTATCCCCATCTTTACACTATCTCTTTTCTAGAACAGGAAGTGAACACTGGGGCTCCACCCCGAGGGGGCTTACATTTGACCAAGACTTGGGACGGGCTGCTCTCCACAGGAGGCAGGCCCACGTGAGCCTGCTTGTGAAGCGGCCAGGAATTCCTCCTGGGGGAAGGCAGTCAGGACCGTCATTGTCACTGATAGGTAGTCAGCTGCTCACGTATCGCCAGCTTTGCCCAGGCCTTGAGCTACGTCGCACGAAGGCCCCCAGGCAAAGCCACATCAGAGCGAGTACACACGTCCTGGGATTTGCAGCCGTGCTGAGGAGGCTCCTGACACACGAAGTGGGAGAAGCACCTGGGAGACCCGCGCCGAGTCCCGTCAGCTCTGACACTCCCTTGTTATCGTCAGCCTTCTTACAAAACCCTGGTATCCATTTCCCCAGGCCTACTGCCTGACTGGCTGAGCCTCACGTCGGTGGCACAGAGAGGAATGGCGACTCTTTCTCCCAACCCCCCTGCAAGGAGGCGCGTGCCCACATCGCCACATCCCTGTGGCCGTCCACCAAGATTTCCCAGCCCCTGCGCGGCCCCTCCCCCAACACCCGCCCGCAAGGCTCTTACCAGCTGCCCTGTTCTTCTCCACCATCCTGCCCTCTTTCCTGGGGTCCGGAGGTGGGAGGGCTCTCTCCGGTTCTCCAGGGCTGGCTTCCAGAGGCGCGGGTGGGTGCGGGAGGGTGAGGCTCTGCAGGAGCGGCTTCCTGGGCAGGGGCGGCTTGGAGCTCAGCAGCTCCGGGGACCGGGCCTTCCCCTTGCCTTGGTTGTTGGGGGACCTGGCACCTCGAGGCGCAGGGGCTGTCCCCGGGGGGCCTTTCTCATCTTTGGGGAGCAAAGTCAGTCCTCCTCTTTCTAGCCTCATCTCGGCGCTGTATCTCTTTATCCCCTTTGCTTCCTGCAAAGAGCTATCTCTGTATTTGAAAGACAGGGAGGTGGACCGGAGCTTAACGGGGAAGGGGTTTCTGTCCTCGCCCGGGGCTGGCTCCTGAGCAGCCGGGCAGGGCTCTCTCGGGCTGGGCGTGGGCACAGCCTCCTGGGCGCTTCCACCCTGCCCAGCCTGGCTGGCCCCTCTGTCCCCTGAATCCTGAGGGTGGCAGTCCGCTGGCTTCTGAGGGTCCAGTTTCCTGATCGGGGGCTCAGGAAGTGACTGGAGGTCATCCAGAGCCGCCTCGCTCCTCCAGGCCAGGCCGCTCTTCAGCAGGGGCAGGCGCACGCTGGAGGAGGGGCCGGCGAGCTCAGAATGTTCCAGCAGCCGGGAGCCACCGGGCCGCGGCCGAGCCCTGCACGAGGACACGGAGAACTTCTTCACGCTCCGCGACTCGCCGCCAGCTTTCTCGGGCTTCCGCTCCGGCGCTGCCTTTTCGGGGCCCTCCTGTGGCGGTTCGGCCTGCTCAGTCTTGGGATACTCCAGGGGGACGCAGAGACCGGGCTCCTGGGGAGGTGACTCCACAGAGGCAGGCACAGGGGGCCCGCTGAGGCCCGCGCTCGCCGCCGAGGCCTTGTGCTTTAGGCAGCTCTTGGGCATCGGGGGGCTCGGGGAGGGCGCCACGGGGGCTTCCTGCCCTGCCTGTTCAGGCCCGGGCACCTTCAGCATTGGCTCCGCTTCCTTCTGCGTACTTGGGTCTGGCTCATCCGGCCCAGATGACGTTTCCAGGGTGGAGGTGGCGACAGTCTCAGGAGGTTTTGTGTCCCCCTCAGCCAAGTGGGCGGCTGCTGGGCTTTCCACATCTGCACACGGCACCTGCTCTGCACACGGCACCTGCTCTGCACACGGCACCTGCTTTGCACATGGCACCTGCTCCACATACGGCACCTGCTCCACACACACCACTGCCTCCGCTGTGGCTGTGGCTGGGGGCCCTGGCTCTGTCGCTGGCAGCCCCTCCGCCTGATTTCCGCTCCTTGGGCTTGCATGTGCGGGGTCTTCCGGCAGGGATGGGGACTCCAAGGAGGGAGCTGGGTCTAACACAGGCTCCATGACCTCTGGGGTCACTGGGAGGCTTACGGGGTCATCCCCAGGGGAGCTCCCCTCCTCCACGCTGGCACTGAGCGCTGGAGAGTGCTGCAGGCGCCCACGTCTGGCCCGGGGCCCTCCGGGATGCAACAAGGTGGCCAGTGCCCTGGGCTCAGCGCCTCTGTCCAGGACCCAGTCCTGCAGCCCGGCCCCGGGGCTCCCCTCTGTGCTGGCTTCGGGCAATGGCTTCTCGTCATATTCCTCCTCCTCTGGCGTGCAGGTCAGGTCGCTCAGGGACTCCGACTGTGCCCGCTAAGAGAAACAGAGATAAAAGACACAGTCGCTGTGCTGCAGTGAATAGAGGAAGCCGACGACCCCCCTGTTTTCCTCCAGCCTTCACAGAGGTTCGGGACAGCTACAGGGGGCAGCTCAGTACAGGTTCACACGCCAGTGTCTTTCCTTGATCCCTCCTTACCGGTCTACTTGGAACACTGGCTCACAAAGCCAGCAGCACAATGGCAGCTATGTCCTCCAAATACATGTCACCTCCGCTCAGGGGCTGAGTCACAGCACCGGCAGACCCCGCGCTGCGGGGTGCAGTGAAGGGAAGGGGACAGACATCGGCCAAAAGTCTGCCGGGCCTTGTGCTCCGTGCTTGGGGTTTCACTCCGCCGGGGGAGAAAGGGGTTACCACTTCCCTTTTTGCACTTGGGGAGCCGGGGGCTCGGAGACGGCGTCGGAACCTTGGTCATGGCTGAGCTGACAGACGGCCCAGCTGAACAGCTGTGCTCCACGCGCCTGTGCTGCCCCTCTCCCCAGGGGTGAGCCCTCATGGCTACGCAGGGCTAGTCTTGCTAAAAGACAACGCACGTTATGCCAAACGGGGCCCATAGCTCACCGTGGCCTACGGAACTCGATCCAAAATCTTTGGCTGATGAAGTCATGTGTTCTCAGCGCTTTGACTGCCTTACTGAGATCAAACAGAGTCCCCAGTCGGGCTCCAGAGGCTGGGCCTGGGTGCCTGCCTGCCTCTCACACCCTCCCTGCTGCCTCCCGACACCACACACCTCCAGGATGCTCTACTGGCACCCTCAAGGGCTGCTCCGGATTCTGCCTCCTATAGGTAGGCCGGCCTGCCCCTGCAAGCTTACAGTCTCCCTTCCCTGGCCTCCCGGAGCCCTGCTGGCCTTGTGGCATTCTTCTGGGCAGCCTCTGGATTCTGGTCCAGCTTCCTCCTCACTGTCACAAAGTCAGCTCCTGCTCTCGCAGAAACAAACAGGACGCCAAGGTAATCACACAGGATCCAACAGTGACACGTGAAAATGACCCAAAGGATGTGGAGGGGATTCAGGCTGAACTTTTTAAAAAGTTCATGCCCTTAAACCTAAAGAGTCATCCAGGCTGTTGCATAACCACCTCTCTCGCTTTTCTTTTTTTGAAAGCAGGAAACGAGCCATTGAGCGGTGCGTCTGCAATGGGTTTTTGCTGCTGTTGTGTGATTCTAACATTTCCCGGCTGGCATCTGCTTGCTCACAGAACACAGAAGGACTGTGACAACAACACCTAAGCTAACTCTTGCCCACACGCACAGCTGTACTCTATGGGTGTTGAAAGAGGAAGGTGCGTCGAGAAATCAATAGACTTTACCAGAGCTGTGGCTTCTCAACATTGCCACGACCCCGGCTGTTTGCTACTACCGGGGACTGTTGGTGCTGAGAGCGCTCTGGGTGCGGGTCATGGTTTACAACTCTTGATCTGAGATTCCAGATAAGTCAGTGGGAAGCTGGGGACTGGGTCTGGCTCGGGCACATCCCATCTGAGGCACAGGCAGCATAGGAGGTAGCTACGGTGGTCGGGCTGGAGGAAGGTTGGCCTGGCGCACGGACATGGACCTTGAGGAGGGGAAGACTGCTTCTGCCTCAGTCCAGGCTCTGGCCAGGCGCAGCCACCAGCAGCACGGGGCCCCAAGTCACCAGGTTCACTATGCTGGCTCCATCCCCACGGCCTCCCTGTCACCTTCTGGGGGCCCTCAGAGTGGCTTCGCCATCCAAGGAAATAGCAAACGGGTGGCTCACAGCTCAGGCTGCACCAGGATGGAGCTGAGGTCCAGGCTACCTGTTCTTCCACCTTCTCCTGCCAGGATGATAAAGTTCCTTGGAGCAACACCCCGTCGCCTCTGGCCAGAGGGGGCTGCCCGTGAGCAGCAGGGCAGAGGGCACAGAGGGAAGGTGTCAGTTCTGTCTGAGCCCCAGGTCTTGCACGCGGCAGCCCTGCCAACCACGAGACCCAGGGCTAGTCATCTCCTTGTGCTGCTCCTATTAAACTGGAGCTCACCATAATCCCTGCTCCTGGCACTGCCCAGGCTGGTGCCAGGACCGCCTGGCATGGTGAGATGTGAATGGAAGTGTTCCTGGGTGACCCACCACCACGGAGTATGGAACCACACGGCGCACGGTTCTGAGCACCAGGTGACACGCCGACCTAACATCTGGGGTTTGTCTTTCTCAATCTCTGCTTTGGTAGGGGCAGAGAGGTTGAGCCAAGCGCACCTGTGTTCACAGTGTCTCGGTCTTGAGAGTCAAGGCTCCTGCTGGGCACGATGATGTTTTTAGGATGTGAAGAGTCTCTTTCCCCCTTAGGTCTCCCCAAGATTCCGAGCCTAGATGATGTGACGCAGAGTTCACGCCACTGGTGACGCGGCCAGCGATCGCTTGCCCAGGCAAGGACAGCTGTTGCACCCGGACAGAGGAACGCACAGAGACCCTGAGGATGCCGGAGGCCCGAGGGGCGAGGGTGCAGGTGAAGGAGAAAGAAGCTTCCATGCCAGGTGAGAGAAACAGGACTCACTGTTCAGTTATGGCCAGAGGGACAGTGGGCTTTGAGGCCCCAGGGTCAGACGGCAGAGGAAGGGGGGTGGCGTGTGGCTCCTTCCCACTCTTGGAGCGGTAAGGGAGCATTGGGGAGCCCCCTGAACTCTGAGAGGGCCCAGGGGGAAGAGGTATCTGATGACCAAGGGGCAGAGGGAGCTGTGGACACTGATGGACAGAGGCCTCCAACTTACAGTTCAACAGAGAACGGAGGGATGGCGGTGCCCAGTGCCCAGTCAGGGACACACAGACGCCTCTGAGGACTTACTGTGTCCAAGCCAGCTCCCTACCAAACAGGGAAGGCGAAAAGGGCAAGGAAGGCATGGAAATGGCAGCGTTTAAATCAAGGAATGACTCTATGTGTGTGTTTACCCATACTGACTATATCAGATGTCCTGTTATTCTACAAAATGAGAGTCAAGAATGAAGTCAAGTTCAAAACAAGAAGGAGGGCTGTGGCTTTGCCCAGGAGGGCCAGAGGAGAATGGTGCTCCTGGCCAAGCTGTGGCTAGTCCCACAAGCCCCTACCACAGCAGAAGACCTCACATGAGGGCAAAACACAGACTGGAGCACCAGAAGAGGCTGGACGTGGCCCTGGCCCAGCACAAGGATGTGCAGGTCCGGAGTGACAGGGCCTTGTCACACCCCTCAGCACACTGGTCTAACCAATCACCAGCTGGTACGTTACATGAAGGTAACCACACCCCCTTCTTCCTCCAGCCAACCCAGTTGCCAGGGGTTTGACAAGCCCCTTCCAAGTGCCCAAGGGAATGCTCCCTCTCTGGAGTCCCTGAAATCCTAAGTGGCCACGGCCAGCATCTCTAGTGGATGCCTGTCCTGGGTGCTTCATCAATACCCTGGCATCACATTGAAGGGAGAAAGGCTGTCAGCCTGGGAGCCCTTCATTCCTGGTGGCCAAGCTGGGCCTGTACCCATTCCTCACCTTGTCTATGGCTGAGGCTTCGTAGGCCCCATCAGGCAGGGGAGGAGGCGGTGATCCCACATGGACCACCATGCCACAGGTACCACCAAGCCAGAGTGCTCCACGATCCAGGTTCTGGGCTGCCGGAACTACAAGATGACCATCCCCCCAGGACAGCATGCCCAAAGGAGGGTGGGTTCTTAGGCACCCACTCTTGTGTCTCAGCTGCTTCTGCCACTCACCTCCATTCATCTGTTCACTCATTCATCCATGCAGCACATTGCCACCGAGTGTCAGCTCTGTGACTAGCATTGCTTTTAGGGGCTGGGAGTACAGGGGGGCCAGGCTCTCAAGGAAGACTGGGAATAAGCGAGGGAGCACAGGCGTTCACAAAGGTGACTCTGTGGGGGGCAGGTCCTCCAAAGAAGAGGCCCAGTCAGGGTGAGCCTCCACAGGGAGTGGAGCTCCAAGCTGAGAGCCCAGTGCTGGAAAGGAGACAGGCAGGGCGATCAGCAGGACCAAGGACCAGGCCTGAGTGTTGCATGACAAACAGGTAAGGAGTCTAGGGCCTGGTGGCACCAAGGTTGGAGTATGGCTTTAAGCCGGGTGCACTGGGAAGGTAGCTCACACACTGCACAGTGGGCTCCTGACAAGCCTGTGTGCAATGAATGAATGGAGTGTTTATGCAAGGGAGAGATGTCTGATTTATGTTGGAAAGACTAGTAACCCCAGCAGCACGGTCCCATCGGCCATGGGGGTGCTCAGGGCGGCACGAGAGGCGGGGTAGGGCTGGGGCCGGGGGTGCCGAGCCTGCCATGCAATTACCGAAGACAGCCGCCTCATTTTACTGGACCGTTGGTTGCGGGGTTTCACCAGGAGCTTGTGCTTGGCTGCAGAGTTGTCCAGGCAGGAGGAGGATTCGGGAGGATAACTGAAGTCAGCCACGGGGGCCAGGCTGCTGTCCGAGGTCCGGGACGTGACAGTGACATCGCTCGCCTGGTCTGGAGACTGCGGCCGGGACGAGGATACTAAAGAGACCTTCGTGGGACAAAAAGGAAGCAAACAAAGCAAGCATGAACCTCCTGCCACAGAGCCAACCTATGTACTCTCTGTTTAATGTTGCACTATCTCTGAGCCTGCGCACCTGTCTCTCCACGGGGCAGGGTACAGGACGCATCCTCCCTTAGGGACCCTGGCACGCCTCTCCAAGGCCATGCAGGGAACTTGGGTCCAGCCTCCTGTGGCAGGATGCTTCTGCCCTCACCCTCCTCACAGCAGATGGCACAGGCACTTGTGATCAAACAACGACTTCCTTTGATGAGAGAGACCAGCCCCAACTCTGCAAGGGCAGAGCCACCCGTCCCTGTCTCTGGAAACCAAGAGGGCAGCCTGGGGTGGAGTTCTGGGAGCCGGAGCCCACCACCTGGCGTCCTATCATGAGAGTTTTGTTCATTCCAGAAGGTCTCTGCATCCTCACACATCCTCTGGGAGAAATCTGGCGTTCAGTCTCCATCTGTTGGATGTTTCTAGTTTAGACCTCAGCAGGGAGGAACTGACAGTCGGCAAAGAGCAAGCATTTGCTAGGGAGGGAGGGGACGCTGGCAGCCGTGTGGACGGGTGTGGGCGATGCGCTAGGACACGTGTTTCAGCAAGTGAGGTCAGGAGGGCTCGCAGAATACAGCCCTGAGCGTCCATGAGAACGTGCAGCCCAGGGGAGTGGCCCAGGGGCAGAGGACAAGCCGAGAGGCACTGGGCTTTGGGTATGACCAAAGCAACAAAGCGTCCACCCAACCAAACTTTCTATACAAGCACAGTGCTCACTATTAGGGTCACGTTTGCATTTCAAACATAGGAACGTAGTTTGATTCACCACACAATGACTTAGCAAGTCCTGATGAAAATAGTCTTTTCAGGAAACGGGCAGAGAGTAAGACATCAACATTGTCCACCCCCTTCCCATCCCTGGAGCTCCCTGGATTTTGTCCACAGCCCTGGAACCCCACATGGAGCAGGTGCCCAAGAGTGTTTGTGGCACTGCATGAGGCTGTCAGAGGGCTGGGCCCCACCACGGGGACTATCCCTGCAAAGCAACAACCTCAGAGAACTTACTCTCCCCTCTCACATAAAGGCCCTTGACATTGTTTGATGCAAGTTGAGCCCAATAACTGGGCAGGAGGTAATTACCAAAATGAGGGCGATAGGAGTCTAAGTGGTCATCATCTATTTTAGTTCTCTTAACTACTCAGGTACTTACAGGAACACAGCAGGAAAAATTATTTTAAAAATTAAACTGCAGGGCTCCTGGCCGCTACAAGAGCCGTGCGTGCAGCTCTGGCTTCTTTTACTGTTGTAGCCGAGGACTCACCTTTGACCTGCAAGTTATGCCTCTCCCGGATTATTGTTCTTAAGGGCCACAGACAGGATGTGTATGTTTTGAAATCAAACTAAGTCCTTAATTTTTACCACTGTCTGGACAAATAGCAGATAAACGGTGGGTAAAATTTTTCTGCTTACTGCTTGGGACTAATGGAACAAAGATGAAGCCCTTGGCAAATGTGGTGACTGCACAAGATGACGCTTTGTGACAACACCACGGGCCTTCTGTCACCCTCCTGTAACCTCAAGGGTTAAACATCCCACTCCTCTTCCATGGGGGTGAGCTGGTTTGTGCTGTCCGGGCAGCCAGGGCTGGGCCCCAGGCCCACGCCGGCCCCTGTGCTGGGGACCTTGGCACGGAGCTGGTCTTCCTGGCCCCTGACCTACACGCAGACCCTTTACTGTTGTTGTCCTGTCCCCAGGAACTCAGTCCCTCTGCCATTCTGAGAGTTCTCGGGTCCCGCATAGATCAACACCCTCGGGACCAGGGAGTATCATGAGTTGCTGCCTTTTAGCAATGACTTAAGCACGTTGAGGCGGGGTCCTGGGGAAGGGTGGGGGAGGGGCTTGTGTGCCAGTGGGTGATTGGCAGCAGCCACACAGCCTTCACTCTGGCCCTGCTGGGCCCGAGGCACCCGAGTTCCCCTGGAACCTGTGCTTCTGGTGATACTGGAAGCAGAGGACTTGAAAGTCTCACGTGTAGCCCTTTGCGGCAGGGGACGTGGCTCCAAGGGCCCCTGGGAGAGCTTTCTCCCCAGTGACACTGGGCGATGGCTGCTTCCTGACATCTGACCTCACACAGAGGGCCTGTGGCACTGTAGAGTGGATTGAGGATGGCACACGTGGGAACGACCCCCAGGCTGGGGCTGTGCCATGGGGGTGGTGAGAAGCCCTCCAGCTCTGCGGCGGGGAGGAAGCCCCGAGCTACCGGAGCTCATTTATCCTCCCCAAAATCCTCTGAGGACACAGGCCCCAGGAGGCAACGAACCTGCCCAAGACCTGAATGGCAGGAGGCCTAGACTATGACTGGTTTGACCGAATTTTACCTTAGCCACCATCAAGTGTCATTGGTCAACTCAGGTGGTAACAAAATTTAAATAATAATTGCACATACTTCCTGAGAAATTTATTCTACGAGGAAATACCAGTTTGACCACGTCCTCAAATATTTGTTACTAAAGACTTTTTTTTTCCTCCACAATAATCTTCAGTCAAGCATATGGGCCAGGGGCAGGTGTCGCTCAGAAAACACGGAAGCTGCCCACAATGCCACCCTTTTGGGATTTAAGGAGCCATACATCAAATCCCATGGCACACAAGCATGTTTGAAGAGGCTGCACTGTTTCCTCCTTCGGTTGGCTGATGGGTACACACCGCGGTCCAGGAGCAGAGTGTAATCACCGGCTCTTCCCCGCCCCAGGGAGGACCTTGCTCTGTCTTAAAGGCCTGGGCTGTGGTTCCCTACAAGCTGGGGAGATTGTTTGTGTTACCCAGTAACTAAGACGATCTGAAAGCAATTTAAAAAAATAATAGTTTACAACGACCCTGGGAGAGACTCTGAGAAGGACGAGGCAGGCCCCAGGCTGCCGGGAATGGCTCGCCCTCAGCTCAGTGCAGCATTCGTGCCTCATGATGCTGTGCGGGTTTGCAGCTGGGCCTGCTGTGCAGTGGACGGAAACCACCTGTGCTGCTTTCCCACCTGTCTCGGCGCAGGCAGAGCCGCAGCTCTGTGGGACGGGAGGTGGCACAGGAAGCAGATGGCTCAGTGTGGCTGCTTTTCATCCTGCGGCCCAGAATACACAGCGCCACACCTGCTCCCCAGAGGCGGCGGCGGTGGGCGATGCAGCTGCTCGCAGAATTTTAAGGTGTTAAGGGGTGCAGGGTTAGCCTGGCAGAGTCCAGGAAACAGGCCACACCAGCCTCGCCACCTGCTCTTCCTTCTCTTGGGCTGGAGAGCCACTGTATGCAGCCCACTGTCCTAGGAGCCCACTCTTGGGGGAGGGGACAGGGACAGGTTCCCAGAGAGCGGAACTCAGGGCGGGGCCGGAGCAGGCTGGGGAGGCAATACTTCTCTGGCCAGGTCCAACTGAATCTCAAGCCCAGGGCTGACTCAAATTGAGCCCCACCACAGTCCTTCGTCCGTGTGGCTCCGGGAACCCCGAAGTACACATGCTGATGAGGTTCAAGAGGCTTTCTGGGTGTCCAAGGCAGAGTGGCTGCGAGACGGGGCCACAGTGGGAGCCCACCACTGTGCCATGAACAGCCCCTGGGCTGGGCCAGAGGGGGCAGCATCCTGAGCAGGCCCCGGGGCAGGTGTGTGGCTATAAAGCAGGAACTCTGGGCTTCGTCTTTCAGGTGTGGGCGTTCACCTGGGTAAGTGCAACTCTGTCCACTCCACAGCAAGGCTTGTCTCCACAGGGCAAATGACCATCTGTTTTTTCATTCGTAGACATTTGGCAACTGATGCTCTTACCGCAATAAAGTAACATTTCTAAAAAACGGCAGCATCACATGCTCGCTGGTTAGGCCTAGAATGAGCTCACGGGTTCCTCCTCTCGTGTTCTAATGGGGAAGGTGGTGTTTGGGGTCAGCTCCTGCACCCTGCTGAGGTCGTAAACTCTGGCCTCCTTGTCTTGTCCCTGCTGCAACGTACCTCGTACTGCTAAACCAACATGTTCCCCTGGCCCTAGGTTTCAGACCGGAGTCTGCAGCAGTATTGACTGCTTCCTTCTCCTGCAGGCCAAATGTCAAGACAACAGAAAATAGACTCTAAGATGTTTCCTTTCTTTGGAATGGGGTTCTGTGTCATCTACCCAGACAGGAAAGACGAGGTATTGGGTGGATTGTATTCCACCAATGACCATCACGCAAAAATAATGTCACCCAAACCACACTTCCTAACCAGACCTGAATTTCTGTTAAAAAAAAAAAAAAAAAAAAAAAAAACAAGAAAGAAAGAAAGAAAAAAGAAAGAAAGAAGAAAGCAAGAAGGAAGAAAGAAAGAAAATAAACACAGCCCAAGGGCCCAGCGTAGGTTCCAGCATCCTGGTCCTCCACCCAGGAAACCCTGGGGGAACACACAGAGCTCCAGATGGCTGAACTCTGTAGTCGACACTGAGGGACACATGTGGTGCCACAGACCGCACTTGCCTTTATGGTTGTGCTAGGACCTGCGTCGTGCAGCAGAGACATCTCAGGGGGGCTCCGGGGCAGCCCGTCGTCTTCAGAGCTCATGCCGGCATCCTCTGCCCGCTTGGCAGGCAGCCCCCCTGGAGGAGGTGGCGGCCCCAGTTTCACATTGCACTGGATTTTTAACTAAGATTGGAACAAAGAACATTTGCCCTTAGTAATTTCATCAACAGCATCTATCCACAAATCTTCCTGCTCCGATTCATTTCTTTGGGGGATATTTTCAACACGCTTGCACACTGCAGGGGACGGAACCAGAAGAGTCCATGCCACCGGCAGGCACTGTCATTTTGCCGAGCCGAAACTCAAGAGCTGAGATCCAGGGGTGACCTGGCGGTGTCCCGAGACAGCTGAGACATGGGTGCGACTCCACTCTACCATGTGCCAGACAAACTAGGCTGGAACCAACGAGAAATCTCTCCACCGCTTCCTGACGTGCAGCCGAGTGAAGCCGACGAGGGGGCGTTTACCTGCAAAGCTTTAATCCGATCGCACACGTTTTCTTGGGAGAACACCCGCACAGGCCGAGCAGGGTCCTGTCCCGACTCGGGGATGAAGATGCTGTCGTGCGAGAGGGCCCGGCTGCCCAGGGTGCCCCTTGACTCCCTAGGAGAGAGGGGCCAGTGTGAGACGCTGCCTGTCTCCCCTCTCCGACGCTTGGGGCTCTCAGGATGACAAAGGAAGCTGGGGGTGGGGGTGGGGGGAAATCACTTCTAATATCCTATTGCACAGTAGAAAAACTACGGATGACAACAGTTCATTGTATATTTCAAACTAGCTAGTAGAGGGGATTTTGAATGTACCCAACACAAAGAAATCTTAAGTGCCTGAGGTGACTAATAAGCCAGTTAACCTGATTCTTACATATTGTATACTTGTACTAAAATGTTACACTGCACCCTTACTGTGTATCCATATAAAGTGAAACTCGAATTTTAAAATGGAGGAGGCTGGTGGGTTACGTCACCGCTTGGGACACCCCACATCCCATAATGGAGTCCCTGGAGTTGAGTCCTTTGATTTTGATCCAGCTTCCTGGTAATGTGCCTGAGAGGCAGTTGGTTATGGCTCAAGCACTTGGGTTCCTGCTGCCTGCATGGAGGCCAGGATGAAGTTCCTGGTTCCTGGTTTCAGCTTGAGCCTGCCCTGGCTGTTGTATGTATGTGGGGAACAAACGAGTGCATGGAAGATCTTTTTCTGTCTCTTTCTGTTGCTCTGCCTTTCAAATAAATAAAACTGAATAAATAAACAGTTTTTAAAAAATGAAATCCGACAGCATGCCCTCTACACTGTTGAATACCACAGGCCACTACCAGGAGCACCGCAGACACAGGAACTCCCTAAGAGGGCGAACGGTTGTGTTTTCTGTTACCGGCAACACCAAGGGTTGACGAGGTGTGAGGTCCAAGACTGGGGGCCTGCAGAAAGAAATAGTGGACACAGGCCAGGTTCTGTGAGGGTGAGGGCAACAGACCTTGCTGGGCCCAAGACGGCCCCAAAACCAAGAACTGCTGACCTGCAAAGCAGCACTCTCTTTGTCTTGCCTGGCTTGATCCGTGCAAGCCCACCTCAGTACCTAGGTCCTAGAGCATGGAGCCCTTGTGTCCCCACCATCCAAGCGCCATGCCCAGCCCCAAGGATCTTATCCACAGGACAGTCATAAAAGACCCTAAGGGGACGTGGGAATGAACTGTCAGACTTTCCGAGCAGCCTCGGCAGCCAGAACAATAGGGGGAAGGAGATGACCGAGTCCTGGTCAAGGAAGGAAAGCCGGCCTCTGCCCACGCTGGACAGTGGCTGGGCACCAAGCCCTCCTCATCCTCTCCCGGGGCATCCTGGCCTCGGTGCGGCTCTGGGGATGCTGAGGCGTAGACCTTCCCTGCTGCGGATCAAAGTGCTGGTCAGTGCTGCTTCCTTTTCAACGAATTTTAGCCTGTAACAGTACGTGTGCCAGAGGGGGCCCGCAGCCCTCAGAGGGTGTGTCCCCACATTCCTGAGAGGGAATCCAGCCAAGCAAAGGGGCTGGGCCCTCCCTGCCACAGCAGCTGTCAGCACAAAGGTCACACAGGCACGTGGAGTTACCTCCCCCACCAACTCCCACCGGCTCCCACCCCACACCTTGAGAATCAGGAACACGGCCCGCATCCCTCATTCAGGGCATGCTGGGGGCTCATACAGCCACAGGAGGCCTCTACAAAGACACACTGGCGGCCGGTGCCGCTGCTCACTAGGCTAATCCTCCGCCTAGCGGCACCGGCACACCAGGTTCTAGTCCCGGTCGGGGCGCCGGATTCTGTCCCGGTTGCCCCTCTTCCAGGCCAGCCCTCTGCTGTGGCCAGGGAGTGCAGTGGAGGATGGCCCAGGTGCTTGGGCCCTGCACCCCATGGGAGACCAGGAGAAGCACCTGGCTCCTGGCTCCTGCCATCGGATCATCACAGTGCGCCGGCCGCGGCGGCCATTGGAGGGTGAACCAACGGCAAAAGGAAGACCTTTCTCTCTGTCTCTCTCTCTCACTGTCCACTCTGCCTGTCAAAAAAAAAAAAAAAAAAAGACACACTGGCAACCACACGAGAGGTGATATGTGCCGGGCCACTCACTTCAGTGACACCTGTCAAATCAAAGGATGGGAAGCAACCCAGTGTCCTCCAGGAAGCGCCTAAAGCAATGAACCGTGGAGTGTGGCCAGGCAGGGAACCCTGCCGCTGACCCAGGGGTCGAGGCTGAATTTGCACACCGAGCCCAGGCGACACCAGGTGAGAGCAGGTGTGAATGACAACAAGCAGAGCAAAGCTCACAGGATGCTGGCACTATGAACATATGAGCACACTTCAAAAAGTTCATGGAAAATGCAATCAAAAGTATGAGCTTATTTTGGTGCAAAATTTTTCCCCCATCCTAGGTGGCAACTGTGTATTATAAAAAATGATGCGCGGATTTCAAAATTGTTTTTGCTCCCAAATAAACTCCTATTTTTAATTCCATTTCCCCACAAAATTTTTGAAGTACCCTTGTACATACGAACATGCATGAACATATGTGTGTTGTCTATATGAAAAAAACATAAAAATAGAAGGATAGGTAACAGTATCTTGAAAAAAAAAATACTTCTTCTAGGGGATATAACTAGATGGGGAAATGGGGCACAAAAGTACCTACATTTACAATTTTGTCTTTGAAAACATAAACATAAGATAGAATAAAAAAAAGATGAGGGGGAATAAAACCAGCTCTAAAACTAGAAAACTAGTATAAATAAACCAAACTAATTTTATATCAGATTGCTGACATAACTACACAGAGAAAGGTATGACTTCTAGTAACTTTATGTCCACAAAAGCTTTAGAATGTTTAAAAATTTGAAAGGTAGGGACCGGCACTGTGGCATAGTAGGCTAAGCCTCCACTTGTGGCACTGGTATCCCATATGGGCTCCAGTTCATGTCCTGGCTGCTCCTCTTCTGATCCAGTTCTCTGCTATGGCCTGGGAAAGCAGCAGAAATGGCCCACATGTTTGGTCCCCTGCACTTGCATGGGAGACCTGGAAGAAGCTCCTGGATCCTGGCTTTGGATTGGCTCAGTTCTGGCCATTGCGGCCATTTGGGGAGTGAACCAGTGGATGGAAGATCTCTCGCTGTCTTCTCTCTCTCTCTCTCTGTAACTCTTCCTCTCAAATAAATAAATAAAATCTTTAAAAAAATTGAGAGGTAAAGAAAGAGCAAGTGAGCGAGGACAAGAGTGCTCCCATCCACTGGTTTACTCCCCAAACATCCACAAGGGTCAGGCCCACAGGCCAGGCTGAAGCCAGGAGCTAGCAACTCAGTCTGGGTCTCCCAGTCGAGTCACTGGGACCCAGCTACTTGAGACTGGCTGCTGCCTCCCAGAGTCTGCACTAGCAGTAAGTTGGAATTGAGAGTGGAATCAAGACTCAAAGTCAGGTACTCCATGTAGGATGTGGGTGTCTTAACTGCTAGGATAAGTGCCTACCCCCTAAATGACTTTTGACTCTACGCCCAGAAGAAGATAGGTTCTAAGAACAACAATAAATACAAGATGTCAAACTGCACCTGGCAGTCTTCTTTGGACTAATACTGACAAAACAGCAAGAAAACAACCTGTATTTGGTACAGGTTCTATTAGGTTGGTGCCTAGCTTGGGTCTGGCCCAGTCCTGGCCTTTGTGGCCATCTGGGGAGTGAATCAGAGGATGGGAGACCTCTCCCTCACTGTCTCTCCCTCGCTTTCTGTAACTCTGACTTTCCAATAAAATAAATAAATCTTAAATAAAATTTAAAAAACAATATAGAATAATCTTTAGAGTACATAGTTTCTGTGAGAGAAAGAAGATAATGAAATTATTACAGGACAAAAAAATAGATAATTTTGGTAATATCATTAAGTTTTTCAGTACAAGAAAAAATAGAGTACAAAGACTCAAAGAAGTAAACATTTTCTCTTATTAAACTTGGATTGGAAATGAATCCACGTATTATTCCCTTTAAAAAACATATTTTTAGCTATATGTACTGAGAAGGTCTAGAAGCAATGATAGCCCACTAGCAATGTTCACCCCTGGCAGCCAGAGTGTGGTCTCTAAGCACCATTCCACACTAACAGGAACGAACTGGGCCTGTGAACAGAGCGTTGATGCACCTGGGGTGGGAAATACACAAACGGAGCCTGGGATCTCCCACGAGGCAAGAGAGCAAGCAATGCGCTCATGTGAAAGGAATCCAGGAGCTAATATGAAGTGACCCCCAATAGCCGGAGACAGGACAATCTGAGCATTAAAATGCATAACGACAGCCATGGGTTAAAGCAAACCAAATATATAAAAACCATTAAGTCCACAATGATACATGAGGAGAAAAACAAAGAAAGGGTAAAAAAAAAAAAAAAAAAAAACAACCTCCAAAACTCATTGATCACCACCGGAGTTGCTGTGGTACCAGGTCATTACTCAGGCTAGATCAATAAAAGGAGAACCGCACACTGTTCTGTTTGTCCTGTACCGATTGTATTTCAGTGCCACCAGAGTGGTGACGAAGGAAGGTTCTCTGTCATGGAACAAATCTAGCTAGCAAATGTAAGATAATGGCAGAATTGGGAAAATCCTCATTTTGTAAAGAAATAATTGATCATCAGCAGATGTTAAAGTCAGTGGGAGATCACAGTGACACCTCCCAAACCCCCAAGATGTCAGTCTTCTTTTTAAAAAAGTTGCTATTTATTTGAAAGGGAGAGAAATACACACTTACACAGAGAGACAGAGATGGAAACAGAGAGATCCTCCACCTACTGGTTCACTCTCCCAATGCCTGCAAGAGCCAGAATTGGGCCAGGTTGAAGCCAGGAGCCCACAGCTCAATCTGGGTTTCCCACATGAGCGGCAGACACACAAGTATTTAAGCTATCACCTGCTGCTTCCTGGAGTGCACAGTAGGAATCAGAAGCAGAGCTGGGACTTGAACACAGGCACCCAATCTAAGGGCTTGGTCTCAGCCTTACTAGAAGGGGGATGACCGAAGAGCGTATGCCTCCTGCTGTGATGTCACAGGGCACGCCAAGCACCGTCTGTAAACCTAAATCTAGCCCCAGCCAAATGTTTACAGGAAATGGAGAGAATACAGGCTAGAGTTCAAATGCGTTAAGACAAAGCAAAACAGGAAGTGGGATACTCCCAAGGCAAGGTGTTCTCTGCTCCTCCTACGTAGGCCAGTGACATGAAACAAAGTGGAGAATTTGCTGTGGATTAACAGACTGCCGACGTGTGACCACACGGATAGCAGTACGATAAATGGACATTGACTTTTAAAACCCACGGAGCCTCAAGTGGTTTGCCAGCACTAGTGAGCCTCAGCCAATGGAACTGTTCCGCCCACAGCCATGGGTGAGACGTTGCTGCAGAGGTCAGAGGCCTTTGCATTCTGCTCTCTTCCTTCCTTCCTTCCTTCCTCGCTGCTCTGGAAAAATGCCGTGTGCCTTCACATATCCCACTCCTAACCTCCCCTGACAATCTCCCCGAGACGGTACATGTGCGTGTGCGTGTCTGGAGGGGTGTGGGTAGTCTCCCTGGGGCTGGCCTGCTGATGACACTGAGTAATTAGCATTCTCACAACGTGTTGCTCCCTGAGCGGCTGGAACAGGCTGCCTATGAAAATGTGCACACAGCTCCCCACTAGCACTGGAGAAAACAGAGAATGGAAATCCAGTCTTTCCTGTTCAGTCATTTGGTGCCACCAAGTGGTCAGTGTAATTTCTACTCCTTGACAAACAGGCCGGGAGGCTGGCGAGGGGAGGGAGCAGAGGAGGGGACAGGACACCAAAGCTGGGATACTCCAGCCTGAGCCATCCCCACCCCCTTCTCCCTGTGGTCAGTCCCCCAATTCCCAGCAATGCTATGCCCTGTGGAGAGTTTCACCCTCATGTTAAAGGGACCACGCATTTTCAAACATAAATGCTGGCATATAAAGAAATCTGTCTCTTCTGTTAGTCACAGAAATAACTGCATGTGTATCGTAACTATGTTGAAATACAAGTTATAAAAATAAATACAAGTTATAAAATACAAGTTATAAAAATAAGGAGTTCTTCACTCAACCTCCCCAAATTCTCATCATGCTTGTTGGGACCCATCTTCCTCACGCTATTTTTGGATGATTCTTCTAGGACTGAACGGCAAGCAGTCTTTTTTTCTCTTCCCTCCTATCTCTCTGAAAACGGTCGTATGAGATCACTCAACTTATTTCAGTTTTAGGGAAATGTGTTCTTCTAGCATAGCATGCAGTTCCTCATGAGTCTGGATGCAAATTACGCCAGGGCCTATATTTTAACCCTTTTACTCTCAGTGAAAGGATGTCGGGCAAGTTTCAGATTTTTGCTAATATTTATTTTTTGCTCATTTATACTTCATAAATTAGTGGCAAAAGGAATTAAAAGATAAATTTATTTTGGTCAGAAAGTTTTGAAATTCATGCATAGTTTGTTATTTTTTTAAGAAAAATAATTTTTTTTGGAAAGAGTTATGGGGAGAGGGGCAGAGAAGGATCGATCCATCTTCCATCTAATGGTTCACTCCCCAGATGGCCCCAATGGCCAGTGCTGGGCCAGGCCAAGCCAGGAGCCAGAAGCTTCACCTGGTCTCCCTCATGGGTGCAAGAACCCAAGCACTTGGGCCATCTTCTGCTGCTTTCCCCAGGACATCAGCAGGGAGGTGGTTCGGAACTGGAGCAGCCGGGACATGAACTGGAGCAGCCGGGACATGAACCGGCACCGTACGGGATGCCATCGATGAAGGCGGTGGCTCTACCCGCTCCGCCACAGCGCCGGCCCCAAGCTTGGTTTTCCACAGCGTACACTCTCCATGAGCCTAAGCCCCTGCATATGCAGTACTGCTTCTCCCGCAGTCACTGTGAGCTTTCTGAAAAGGCACCTGGCACACAGCACCTACCAAACTGTGGTGTCCCCTGACTTTCTTTTCCGTTTGAAAAGGCAGAAAACACAACTTGTGTGGAAGACCCTCTGGACCAGAGGAATTACTAGGGGGAAAGGAGACTCAGTTACTGAGATAATGCAGTGAAGGCTCTGGGCCCCCTGTACCCAGGGTGCTCTCCTCCTGATGCAACTCACAGTCTACAGAAGGAAAAGCAACTTACTCAAGCTCATCCTCCGACTCGTAGCCCACTGGGCCGGACTCGACGGCAATGACCTCGCTCTTGGCCTGACTTTGCTTCCAGGTGCTACTTCCCGTGGACGAAGGAGATTCTTTTCTTTTCTTCTTCCCAAAGAACTTCTTAAAAGTCTTGAATTTGGATTTTTTCTTTCCTAAATAAAACAACAAAATAAGGAACAGTGCATGTGTGTGTGTGCAGATGTGAGATGTGCACACGGCAGACAGAGAGCAAGCCAGGATCTCTGTCCACGCGGTAGTTATCAATGCCAGTAAAGTGCGGTGCATGGAACTACATCACTTACCAGTTTTGTACACCTGAAAACAAATCTAGATTTCTACAAACAGACGGTATTTAAGTAAACAAGCCAAGAATGCTCTGGAACGTGGTCACAGAATCAAAATACAAGCGACTTTCGTCTCACATGAAATAAAACCTTAATCTCTAAAATACATACAGGCAACAATAAAAGTTCCAATGAAGCAAAGGCTGTGTGATAACACAAGTTATTTTTTTAAAAAAGATTTATTTATTTTACTTGAAAGTCAGAATTACACAGAGAAAGAAGCAAGGCAGAGAGAAAAAGAGAGAGAGAGAGAGAGAGAGAGAGTTCTTCCATCCAATGGTTCACTCCCCAATTGGCCATAATGGCTGCAGCTGCTCTGATCCAAAGCCAGGAGCCAGGAGCTTCTTCCAGGTCTCCCATGTGGGTGCAGGGAATCAAGGACTTGAGCCATCTTCTACTGCTTTCCCAGGCCATAGCAGAGAGCTGGATCAGAAGTGGAACAGCCAAGACTCAAACCAGCACCCATATGGGATGCCAGCACTGCAGGCAGCAGCTTTATCTGCTGCACCACAGTGCTGGCTCCACCCAAATTATTATTTTTTAAATGATTTTGAAACACTCCATCTGGCATGGACATAGCACCAAGGAGGATAAGAGGTGGCCACAATGGTTGGAGCTACATCGACCCAAAGCCAGGAGCCAGGAGCTTCCTTCGGGTCTCCCACGTGGGTGCAGGGGCCCAAGGACTTGGACCATCTTCCACTGCTTTCCCAGGCCACAGCAGAGAGCTGGAAGTGGAGTAGCTGGGACTTGAAACGGTGCCCATTTGGGATGCTGGCGCTGCAGGCAGTGGCTTTACCACAGCGCCGGCCCCTGTGTTGTCTAATGATACACTGAAGCACTGACTTCAGTACTGAGATCTGTCGTCGATATTTTGCTCCTGGGAAGATAATCTGTTTCTCTCAGATTAATTTTAAGATCTTTCACTTTGCCTTTGGTTTTCTGCAGGTTTTTTTTTTTTTTTTTTTTTTTTGACAGGCAGAGTGGACAGAGAGAGAGAGACAGAGAGAGAAAGGTCTTCCTTTGCCATTGGTTCACCCTCCAATGGCCGCCGCTGCAGCCGGCGCACCGCGCTGATCCTGGCAGGAGCCAGGAGCCAGGTGCTTTTCCTGGTCTCCCATGGGGTGCAGGGCCCAAGCACCTGGGCCATCCTCCACTGCACTCCCTGGCCATAGCAGAGAGCTGGCCTGGAAGAGGGGCAACCGGGACAGAATCCGGCGCCCTGACTGGGACTAGAACCCGGTGTGCCGGCGCCGCAAGGTGGAGGATTAGCCTATTGAGCCACGGCGCCGGCTTTGCAGTTTCACACTTTCTGGTTTTCCTTTTGTTTCTCTTCCTTGGGATTTTTTTTTTTTTTTTTTTTTTTTGACAGGCAGAGTGATCAGTGAGAGAGAGAGAAACACAGAGAAAGGTCTTCCTTTGTTGTTGGTTCACCCTCCAATGGCCGCCGCGGCCGGCGCACCGCTCTGATCCGGCAGGAGCCAGGTGCTTCTCCTGGTCTCCCATAGGGTGCAAGGCCCAAGTATTTGGGGCCATCCTCCACTGCACTCCCTGGCCACAGCAGAGAGCTGGCCTGGAAGAGGGGCAACCGGGACAGAATCTGGCGCCCCGAGCGGGACTAGAACCCCGTGTGCCGGTGCTGCAAGGCAGAGGATTAGCCTAGTGAGCCGCGGCGCCGGCCGGGATTCATTTCTGAACCTTGTGCGCTGGGTTCCCCTTTAACCAATTCCATGAGCTCCTGGGCCACTCCCTCCTCTGAGACTCCACGCCCTTCCCCTGCTCTCTGCGCTTCCTGTCATCTCTTCAGGATTTTCCATCTCCCCCCACTCCAGGCTGCTCTCTGCTTCATTTCTTGTGATCTGTCTCAAGGTGACATAATCTGTGGTCAAACCCATCCACAGAAATTTTTAACAATTATATTTCCTCCTAGGAATTCATTTGGCAATAGTTTAAATCTGCTATATCATCTTTTTAGACTTGATTTTACAAAGTAAATACAGTAAAATTCACTATTTCTGCTGTACACGGAGTTGCATAGTTATCACCACAATCAAGATACAGAGAAACCCACCCCCCCAAGATTTCCTAAGGCCGTTCTTTTGTCATCAAGACCTCTCCCTTCTTTTAACCCTTGGCATCTGCTCTGTTCCCACAGCTCTGCCTCTTCCCAAATGTCATATGGATTGAGTCATATAAAATGTAGTCTCTTTTTAAAAATTTATTTATTTACTTTTTGACAGGCAGAGTTAGAGAGAGAGACAGAGACAGAGATAGAGAGAAAGGTCTTCCTTCCGTTGGTTCACTCCTCAAATGGCCGCTGCAGCCGGCGCACTGTGCCGATCCGAAGCCAGGAGCCAGGTGCTTCCTCCTGGTCTCCCATAGGGTGCAGGGCCCAAGCACTTGAGCCATCCTCCACTGCCCTCCCGGGCCACAGCAGATAGCTGGACTGGAAGAGGAGCAACCGGGACTAGAATCCGGTGCCCATATGGGATGTGGGCGCCACAAGTGGAGGATTACCCAAGTAAGCCACAGTGCCGGCCCCAAATGTAGTCTTTTGACTGCAACTTTCTTCATTTAGCAGAATACGTAAGAGTCTCATTTGTATTGTTCTATCCATTGATCTTCTGTTTCTTTTTATTGCTGATTGGGATTCCAGGGCACGGATATACTAGTCTGTGGAGCCACTGACCCAGGGAAGGGCATTTGGGTTCTTTCTTGTTTTTAGCAATTATGAGTGACGTTGCTCTAGGCCTTTTGTGCATATCTAAGTCTTCATTCCCTTTGACAAACACCTTAGAAGAAACTGCTGAAATTATTTCCAAGTGGCTGTACCAGTTTGCGTCTCACCAGCAACGCATCCCCACCCACACGTTGTCAGGATTATTTTTAGACATTCTAATAGGTGTGAAGTAGTGGTTCACTGTTGCTTTAATTTGCACTACTGTATGATTGATTATAAATGGTGGGCAGTCCTTCATGTCCCTATTTGCCATTTGTGCACCTTGATAGATGAAGCATCTTTCAAAATCTTCTGCCCATTTTGTTACCCATTTTTGCTTCCTTCTTTTTCAGCTTTAACAGTTGTAAATATATAATGGGTATAAGTCCTTTATCAATGTGATTTCAAATATCTTCTCCCAGTCTGTGACTTACCTTGATTTTCTTAATAGTATCTCTCACAGAAACAAAAACAATTTATAAAGTTTAATGAAGTCCAACATGTAAATGTTTTCTCTTATGGGTTGAGGTGTCGTATCTAAGAACTCTTATCTCATCCTAGATCACAGGCATTTTTCTCTTACGCCTTCTTTTAAGGAATTCAGAATTTTACATTTATATCTACTATATATTTTGTGTTAATTTTTGTATAATCTGTGATGCTTGGATGGATGTTCTTTTGGTACATATGAATGTCCAAATGTTCTAGAACCATTTATGGAAAAGACTCCTTTCTTCAATAAATCACTTTTGCAACTCTGTAAAAAATCAGTTGACTGCATTTGCAAGGGTTTATTTTTAGACATTTGTTCTGTCTCTATGTGTCTATCCTTTTGCTGTCTTGCTTATTATAGCTTTATAGTAAGTCTTGAAATGAGGTAAGGTGAGTCTTTCAAATTTGTTCTTCTTCAAAATTGGTTACCAATTCCAGTTCTTGTTGTTTCAAACAAATTTTAGAGCCAGCTTGCTAATACCTGCTGAAAATCCTGTGGGGATGTTGACTGCTTCATCCCCATCCTTCCCCCCCGCCCCCACTTCCACCAGGTTATTTCAAAGCAAATCATCCTAGACACTGTCATCATTTCATTCCTAGAAATTTGACTTCTTTGTAAATTAAAACAGAAACAACAACCCTCTGACTCTCCACGGAAATCAAATAAGCTAACTGGTCAACATTCCTGCTACAGAATGCTGAGTTAACGGTATCGCTGCCTTCTGCAGCTTTTTTTTTTTTTTTTTTTTTTTTTTTTTGACAGGCAGAGTGGACAGTGAGAGAGAGAGACAGAGAGAAAGGTCTTCCTTTGCCATTAGTTCACCCTCCAATGGCCGCTGCGGTTGGTGCGCTGCGGCCGGCGCACCGCGCTGATCCGATGGCAGGAGCCAGGTACTTATCCTGGTCTCCCATGGACTTGGGCCATCCTCCACTGCACTCCCGGGCCACAGCAGAGAGCTGGCCTGGAAGAGGGGCAACCGGGACAGAATCTGGTGCCCCAACCAGGACTAGAACCCCGGGGTGCCGGTGCTGCAAGGCGGAGGATTAGCCTAGTGAGCCGCGGCGCCGGCCTGCAGCTGACTTTTAAACAGTGCACTATCTCTGTATGTACTAACAGCATTTTGCAGGTTAATTTGGGGCAAATGAACATCTTAGCAACAATCTTCTAATCCATAAACATGGTCCCTCTCTCCATGTATTTATGTGTTAATTTCTTCTTCTTCTTCTTCCTCCTCTTCCTCTTCTTCTTCTTCTTCTTCTTCTTTTGACAGGCAGAGTTAGACAGTGAGAGAGAGAGAGACAGAGAGAAAGGTCTTCCTTCCGTTGGTTCACCCCACAATGGCCGCTACAGCTGGTGTGCTTCGCTGATCCAAAGCCAGGAGCCAGGTGCTTCCTCCTGGTCTCCCATGTGGGTGTAGGGCCCAAGCACCTGGGCCATCCTCCACTGCCTTCCTGGGCCACAGCAGAGAGCTGGCCTGGAAGAGGGGCAACCGGGACAGAATCTGGCGCCCTGACCGGGACTAGAACCCTGGGGTGCCAGCGCCGCAGGCAGAGGATTAGCCTAGTGAGCCACGGCGCTGGCCAGGTGTTGATTTCTTTAAGAGATTATTTGTATTCTTTGGTATACATATCCTGTATATATTTTGTTAAATGAAAGAATTTCAATTTTTCTGGATGCTGCTGTAAATGGTACTTTTAAAAAAATGTCAATTTTTGATTTTTCATTGCTAGCATGTAGAAACACAACCAATTTTTATACAATGATGTTACAGCTTGTCAAACCTGTTTAAGAGTTCTGTCTTTTGGGGGGCATATTTTATATAATCATAGCATCTGAAAACAGAGACAGTTTTATTTCGTCCATCTCTATGCCTTTCATTTTATTTATTTATTTATTTTGCTTTATTGCACTGGCTGGATCCTGTGCCCCTTTTTATAGGATCCTGGAACTTCCAGCCGTTTTCTAACTTTCCTACAATATTCAAACATAGTGTGCATCGCTGTTTTATCGCGTGTGCTTGGTGATTCTGATTCTATTGCCTCCATGTATCCGTGTCTCTCATTTCTGCTATGTATTTATTTGCTAGGGTTGCTGTAACGGAGGACGACAAAGTCGGGGGCTGAAGCAACAGAAATGCATTGCCTCACAGCTCTGGAGGCTGGAAGGTCCCCCTCAAAGTCCTGGCTGTGACAGAACTCCGTTTCACGTCTGCCCCTCTGCAAGTCTGCCAGCCATCTTTGCTGTTCCTTGCCTTGCAGGTGCATCACCCTGATCTCTTCCTTCATATTCACACCACGTTCTCCTTGCCTACTTCCAAATTCTCCCCTTTCACAGGGTATCAGTCATAGTGGGTACGGAGGAGCCCACCTGACTCCTGCATGATCTCATCTTAACGCCCTACACTCACGATGACTCAGTTTCCACAGAAAGTCCCATTCTGAGATAGTGGGGATGCGATTCAATTGCGAGTGTGTTGATCTTCATTTCATGGAGCCCATGGCACCTTGCTGCCTTGGCTGCTTAGTGACTACTGATCCATGCTTGCCAGAGTACTGGAAATACTACTTTCTGTAAGAACTTGAAGTTACAGGCCGGCGCTGCGGCTCACTAGGCTAATCCTTCGCCTAGCGGCGCCAGCACACCGGGGGCACACCGGCGCTTGGGGCGCCGGATTCTGTCCTGGTTGCCCCTCTTCCAGGCCAGCCCTCTGCTGTGGCCAGGGAGTGCAGTGGAGGATGGCCCAGGTGCTTGGGCCCTGCACCCCATGGGAGACCAGGAAAAGCACCTGGCTCCTGGCTCCTGCCATCGGATCAGCGCGGTGCGCCGGCCGCAGCGTGCAGGCCGCGGCGGCCATTGGAGGGTGAACCAACGGCAAAGGAAGACCTTTCTCTCTGTCTCTCTCTCTCACTGTCCACTCTGCCTGTCAAAAAAAAAAAAAAAAAAAAAAAAAAAGGAACTTGAAGTTACATAGAAAGAACCTTGTGTCTAGTCTAGGAGTATATTAACCAAGTTTAAGGGTTGATATTCTCTCAAGTACTCAAGTGATGCAAGCTCAAGCTACAAATCTGCACATGGATGGTTTACCTGTGGTTTGTACTGATTTTACAGCTCCTTGGGCCCCCAGCCTTTTGCAAGGGTAATTGTCTATAGGTTTATTTATTTTCTGACCCTCTACCTGACCTTCCAGCCCATGAAGACATGAAAATGAAATTCAAAATTTCCAAGACTGCCAAACAATTTGAAGGCAAAAGTGGCATTTATGCTCACTAATCTCTCCAAGTTACCATTTTTCTTTCAACCCTGGTCTCATTTTTTTCTTGCTCTATGAAAATATCTTAGAGAATGTTCTTATTTAGAATTTGAAATTTGTGAGCGGGGAAAAGGTTGGTCTGAATAATTTAAGCTCACTGCTGTTTGAAAAAAGGAATATTTACTTTCTCTCTTTTTTAAAATTGATGCTTCATGATGACCTCAGTATGTAACCAAAACTAGCATCTACTGAGGTTGTTTCCAGTATGAAGTAGTTGTTCAAACAGTATTTTCTTGTTAAAATAAGCAATAATTCAGTGTCTCATAAGAAAAGTTGAAAATCCATTTTTTTTGTCAGAGTTAATCTTTTTTAAAAGCCTTACCTTATATTTGGGTTTTTTTTTTGGTGTCTACTGAAATGGGTGCAGGGAAAAGTGGCTATAATATGGAACGACTGGAAAAAAAATAAAATCTATCTGAATAGAGTCTTTACTGAAATTATTACCTGAAGCTAGTGGCCAAGAGCCAGGATTTAATATCACTGGAAGCTATTCCTCCTGAACTAAGTCAAAGAAAATCACTACTGGCCTTCTCACATCAATCAAGAGAGATGTGGAGAACTTTGCTCCCAAAATCAAGCAAAACAAACAAACAAACAAAAACAAACCACAATGTCTAACATAGGGAAAAGGCGTACTGCAGGAGACCAGGGTTACAACGTCAACTGCACAGCTCCCTCACCACGCACAGCAGTATGCAGGTGACAGTCAACGACATCCTGGACTGTGCTATGAGGTGATGATTCACGGGCTTGCAACGCAGCTCAGGGGAGGCTGTAACAGACACCTCCTTAGTGGGAACAGAAGTCACCATAGAGAAGGGCTGAGGCTGTCTTGGTGAAATCATCGTTTCCTGGACGGCTGGTGCTTTGCCTGGGCCTCCCACTGACCCCTCTGGATACCCCCCTCTGACGACAAATGCGTTCCTCCCCTCACTTTCCAGTCAACCAGACATGGCCACATGTCTGCCTGCAGGACGAAGGAGGGAAACGTGTGCAGAGGCCCTGTGTTTGACAGAAGCAAAGGATCATTGGTGCCTGCGAGTGGCCTTGAATAGCACAGACGTGCTCTCACTCCCAGGGTGGGCAGCCTGGGGGTGTCAGTCTCTGCACTGCCAGCCCCTCTCTCTGCACCGCAGCCAAACAAAGGATCCGCCCAGAGCAGGGGGAGCCATACCTTACCTGTGCTGTCGTCCCCAAGGCCTTCGGCGGCTTCCCGAAGCTTAATGTCCATCACTCTTGTGGAAATCATGTCCGGATCGCTAAAATCAGATGGAGATTCGTGTTAAAGGAACACGTGTAGCAGACGTCACCAATGAGAGACATGGTGGTAGGGACTGCTTGTGCCCATGACCTCGCCTGCACACACCCCAGCAGAGACAGAGTCCAAGGCATCATGCAGGACAGGACGGGCCCAAAATGCCCACAGGCACAACAGCAGCAGGACACAAGTGTTTATCTAATCACTCACGGAGCAAGTTACTGGAAACAGATAACTGGGACAAAGGCCTCACCAATCACACAGTGAGGATGACGTTCCTTTCTTTCAAAAAAGCTTTCCTCAAATGATGGGAAATAATGTTTTTCTCTTACTTACTGTAGAAAGTTTGGAAAATTTAGTGAATGAAAATCACCCATAATCCCACCAATCTAGAAACCACAGCTAACGTTTAAGTCTACTTCCAATATTTTTGCTACACAAATATTTTGTGTACCTGCACATAAATTAGGAACTTCGATTTTCTATAGTGATTTACACCATGTCATTAATATTCTTCATAATTATTATCTTAATGGCTACATAATTTTTTCACATATGAGTACAGCTGTGTCATTAAGTACTGAACTTCATTAAGCTATCATCAAGTTTCTTGTTTGAATTTATTATGAAAAATTCCAAACACTATTCTCATTTCAGCCACAAGTGTTTGGTTTCTTCCTAAAAAAAAATCTGACTCTTCATTAAAGTAAAAGAAATGATAACTGCTCAATATTCCTGCTAGAGAATATTGAGCTATGTTCTTGCCTACCATATCTGACCTTCAGACCACGCACTATATGTACAAACATGTATTAACAAACTATTTATTTAGAAAGATTTCTCACTAGTAGGCACTGTGAATTCTCAAATGGGAGCTCAAATATTTAATTAAGTAATTCATATTTACCACTTGTACATAGCGCATAATGAAGAATGATGGGAGAAATACAAAGAAAATACCTAACAGAGGCAAGGAGTTATGAGTTCGTGCCAGTCCTTGCTTTAACGTTTAGCTCTCCTTTAATGTCAATGTCAAAACGCCCATTCTCCCTATCCCTAAGCCAACTCCTGAGAAAAGCATCACCGTCGTCAGCTCTCAGTTTTCCTGAGTCGGCTTTGGGAACACGCCTGTCTTGTGTCAGCTCTGCTGAACACTCTCCTTGTTGGAATCTCACCAAATCGGACTCATGATCATGCAATCCTTATATATAAAATGAGGGTTGGACAGAAATAGTATTTTTCAAATCCTGACCACTGTTTCAGGCTTCTAAGAACATCTTTGCTTGCATTATCTGTGTTCACCACCAGAGTAACAGACACACTGCTGTCAACCAGTACAATGATTACAATGGTTCTAGCAGGTGGCCCGATCCAAAGGCCCAAGTGTTCTCAACACCCAAGATGTTAGGGGTCATCCGCAACCTTCTGGTCCCTACGTGTCCTGTGTTCACTGACACTGGGAGGAAAGCTACCAGGGCATTTAAAGGAAGAGACAACAGAGAAGAAACACACAAGCAGCAAGAGGGAGAGTGAGAGTGGTGAGGGTTGGTCAAGAGTCACAGCTGTTACCTGGTTGGTACCTTCTCCTAAGGTTGCCACTGAGCTGGAAAGCAGACACCCAAGAGCCTCCCACTGCTTGAGTTTGGAGTTACCTGCACCAACTCCACATTGCCTACCAATCATGCCACGTATTAGCATCTGAATTATTGCATTTCTTCTCCAAGGATTGTTAGTTTTCCCATTTCGGAGATGAGAACACATACCAGGTGGCTTATTATTAATTTACCCAAGGTAGCAAAGCAGACACCAGTCTTGACATTCATGTTAATCGTACACCCAGCATGGGAAGTTGCTTTGGGAACATGAGGATACAGGGACACATGAGACCACTGTGGTCCCTGCCTCCTGCAGGGGCTGACCCAGTGAAGGGGAGGGTCCTGGGCTGTCCCAAAGGGGCTCCAGGGAAGAATCTCCCACTGAGATGGCTCCCTGCCCAGGAGCCCCAGGAACCCACCCACTGGGCATGCGAGGGTATCTTAGTCTGAGGGAGGGGGTTTGAGGGTGCCCAGCTGTGTCACCTGGGAAAGGACCAGGCTCTGGATGATATAAGCACCTTCAGCTCTCATCCGGAAGTGCTGGGTGTGCAGGGCTATGAGACAGCAAAGGAGCCCCTGCGTCTGTGCGTGTGAGTGGTGGGGAAGGGCCCCTGTTTCCACTGCAGTCCAGAAGCTCAGACTTGCTTCTCCCTGGGTGAATGATGTGGCTGTGATAAAGCCCCTCAGGGCCAAGGGTTCAGGAGTGGACAGAGGGCAGCAGCAGTAGGAGAGGCCCGGTTTCTCCTAGGGGTCCTTCCACCATCCGCCCTGCAAGCAGATGCAGGGAAGACCGCCGGATGCCAAGGGAACCAGTGATTCACCCAAGGGGGCAAACGTCACCCACAGATTTAGGGATAGCAAATAGACATGCCAAGTGCCCACTCGAGCAAGAGTATAACACAGTGCAGGGAAACAAAGACTTGGGATGTCTCAGCCACAAAAGGGGGACAGTGACACTGTAATTCAATGGGCCCAGAGCACAGGCTCCAGCTGGCGCTGCGTGGGAACAGCTGTCAATTAGGGTGGTTCATTTCCCACTGGCTGTTCCTGTCTATGCACAAATGGCACCCAAGGCGCACAAGGGTGGACCCGCCCTGGACGTGTCACCTCATGAAGAGGAAGCCTCCCTGTGCAAACAAATGGCTCCCTGTTATCACTTTTAAGATGAGACGTCAGTATTCCTAGCTGCCCCGGGAGCTTCCTAATTCCTGCAGCCTGACAGAGTCAAACCGCTGCCAGGTAACCAGCAAAAACACATTCAAGGTCAATGAGGCACGTCTGCCCAGTGGGACTGCGGAGTGCACAGCTGCACAAATGTCCCCTTCACACGCATATTCTAAGGGGGAACACCCCGTGGCTGTGTCAGTGGCATAGCCCCCTACTACTGGGCCAAGTCACTCACCCCCAGTAAATCTCCTCACCCCCAGTAAAATCTCAGCAAAACCCAGAAGAAAAACCGTAGTTAGAAAGGCAACATGGGAGCTGGTGCCATGGCTCACTTGGTTAATCCTCCGCCTGCGGCGCCAGCATCCCATATGGGCGCCGGTTCTAGTCCTGGTTGCTCCTCTTCCGGTCCAACTCTCTGCTGTGGCCCGGGAGTGCAGTGGAGGATGGCCCAGGTGCTTGGACCCCTGTACCCACATGGGAGACCGGGGGAGGCACCTGGCTCCTGGCTTCGGATCGGTGCAGAGCGCCGGCCGCAGCAGCCATTTGGGGGGTGAACCAACGGAAGGAAGACCTTTCTCTCTGTCTCTCTCTCTCCCTGTCTAACTCTGCCTGTCAAATAAAAAAAGAAAGAAAGAAAGAAAGAAAGAAAGAAAGAAAGAAAGAAAGAAAGAAAGGCAACGTGGCGCCTCCCCCAGACCTCCCAGCATGGTGAGGGTATCTCACTTGAGGACAGTGCTTCTCGCTGGAAGTCTGAGTTTAAATCAGCATCCCCTCCAACCAGCGTCTTCCCCAATACCCTCCCACCCCTGTTCTACATCCAATCAAGCAAAACGTATTCTTTAGGCTAAATCTGGGCTCCTAATCTACTCTGCGGTGCTTATCAGTGTGTATCTGGGTGCCTACAGAGTCCAGGGGGTCCTACACTCGCTGTGTGGGGGTGCCCAGTTCCTCCTCTCTCCACCCTAACTGTCGCCACAGGCACATTCCTAGTTGACAGCACAAGCCCATCATTAGTTGCAGCTTCTACTGAAAAAAAAAAAAAATCTGCAAATGTTTGTTTACGTGAAGAATGAAAACACACTTTCATTTCACACGTCCCAGCTGGCTACATTTATTTACACAATGCAAAGGAACATATCTATACTCTGGTTATGTACATCCAATCACCCCAAATTACACATGAAAGCCTTAGTGTTCACCCCTACAGATCAGCCAATCCCACGCCACCCTCCAGGCTGTGTTCAGACCCCTGTTGGGTTCTTTCATAGCCCACCCCACCCCCAACACCTTTCTTTCACAACACCGAACAATACTGTCATCAAGAACTTGTTGGGGAGGGGTTGCTGAAAACTTCCCACCAAGCACTCTGTGGCCAGAGCTTCATGCCTGTAATACTCACAGTTCTCTTATGCGTGTCTGGAGTAAAGACTGAAACCCAACACATGAACAAGGAAACTGACAAACAAGAGTGGCCTCTGGTGTGGTACCCTGTGAAGTTTTTGAATATCAGGTCCTCTACCCTCAGAAGGCAGTAAAAAGAGGCACAAAGAGTCTATACAAAATGAAGCAGTTGAAAGTTTAAACATGAAAATAATAATTTCTGAAATAAAATATTCATTGAATGAGTGTAACAGCAGATTGGAGACATCAAGACAGGGTGAACTGGATCAAAGACAGATCAATAGAAATGATACAATCTGAAGAGCAGAGAGAAAAAAAGACTGGAGAAAAAATTGTAAGTGATACAACAGCGATTAGTCTAACACACATGCAATTCAGACCCAGGAGCAGGAGAAAGGTGGTGTGGAAAGGGGAGAAGCAGGTAAAGATTCAGAGAATTTATGAATAAAAATTTCCAAAAGATGGTACAAGGGATAGAGAGAGAAATTTTAGTAAACTCCAAGAAAACCACACCTATGCACATTAGAGATCTCATAGGAAACGCGGGACACAACCTCGTACACAAAGTCAGACATGAAGAGAAAATATTGACGACAGCAAGAGTGAAACAGCACATCACCTACGGCAGACAACAAGAATGAGCAACAATGGGTAAGACAAAGCAATGCAAGAACATCTTTAAAGTCTTGACAGAAAAAACAGCAACTCAGTTTCTATATCCAGCAAAATCATCTTTCAATAATGAAGGCAAAGTACAGATATTTTTGGATAAGGGAAGAGTAAGATTTTTTTTTCCCCAGCAGACATGCACTACACGAAATGCAAATAGAAGTTCTTT